GATCCCCAATCAGCAAATCTGGAAAGTCTTCAGCTAAGCCAAAAGAAACTTCCATGAGAATGATGGAAATTGCGGAACCCCCCACTTCTGCTCATCAGGGGGAAAGAACTCCAGCCTATACCGCAGGGCCAGTGGATGCCTCAGATGACAGCTCGGAGGGCGAACCCCTGGTTAGTGGACACATCGCACCCATCCTCAAGACAGTGACTATATTAATTTCCCCCATGCCCGAAGCTGTGAAGATGAAAGCCTCAATAGACTCTGGTTGCACCCGCTGCCTCATTAGCCCAACACTAGTGGGGAATCTGGGCATCCCATCAAGGAGACTGGAACAACCAATCTCATTTGGCCAGTAAGATGGATCCATAGCAGGGGGGGTGCCAGCTACCCTAGCCACTCTACCAATACACCTCTCCCTGGGCAAACATGAGGAGGACATAACATTTGTGGTGACCCCAGGCATGGAATGCCCAATGATTCTAGGGATGGAATGGTTGAAAAAATGGAACCCCTGGGTAAATTGGAGGATGACAGAAATCAAATTCCCAAAGGGGGACCCTATGAACTTAAAACCCCAAGGGGGGCTACCAGAATCAAGAATAGAAAAAGCATCCATGGGAGAGGAAAAGGGACTAACAGAAATACCAGAGGAATACAGAGACCTTGCTGAAGTTTTCAGTGAAGAGAAGGCAAATGAGCTCCCCCCCCCCCACCGACCCACAGATTGTGCCATTGAATTCAAGCCTGGGGCAAAACTCCCGAAGCCCAGATTATACTCCATGAGCCCAAAGGAGAAGGAGGAAATGGAAAGATTCATTAAAAAAAAACCTAGAGAGGGGTTTCATTGAGCCAGCCAAGCCTAAAGTGGCTGCCCCGGTCCTTTTTAGAGAGAAGAAGGATGGCTCTTTACGCTTATGCGTGGATTATAGGGCCCTGAATACAATCAGTGAAAGCAACCTATACCCTCTGCCCCTCATGAAAGACATGCTGTCACACCTATCAAAAGGGAAATTTTTTTCTAAACTAGACCTAAGGGAAGCTTACTATCACGTGAGAATTAAGGAAGGGGACGAATGGAAGACTGCATTTAACTGCCCCATGGGGTGCTATCAATTCAAAGTCTTGCCATTTGGATTACAACGGGGCCCTGCAGTCTTTATGCAATTAATCAATGACATTCTAAGGGAGCATCTGTTTAAGGGGGTCCTTGTTTACTTGGACGACATTCTTATCTTCACCGAAACAAAAGAGGAACATGCCAACCTTGTCAGAGCGGTTTTAAAGAAGCTGTGAGCTGCCCACCTATATGCCAAACTCTCAAAATGCAAATTCCACCAGGAAAGGATAGACTACTTAGGTTATCGCATATCCCCCCAGGGCATTGAAATGGACCCAGAGAAGGTCAGAGCAGTATTAGATTGGGCACCACCCCACACAAGAAAGCAACTACAAAGTTTCCTGGGCTTTGCAAACTTTTACCGCCAATTCATCCCCTCATTTGCCCAGATAGTCTTGCCCCTCACTAACTTACTAAAAATGAAGGGAGCATCCTCAGTAAAACCTGGCCAGCCACTAACATGGACAATGGAGTGCCAAGCAGCGTTTGAGAGAGTAAAGAGACTTTTTTCTGCCGAACCAGTACTAAGACACCCAGACATGGACAAGCCCTTCGTAATACAGGCAGATGCAAGTGATGTGACAGTGGGGGCTGTTCTATTACAAGAAAATGATGGTGGAGTATTGCAACCCTGTGCATATACATCCAAGAAACTCACGGAAACAGAACAGCGCTGGCCCGTATGGGAGAAGGAGGCATATGGGATACGTTGGGCATTACTCACGTGGCGACAGTTCCTGGAAGGCAACAAAATCCCCTTCCAGGTGTGGACCGATCACAAAAATTTGGAAGCCCTGAAAACGTCCAGGAAACTCAATCCCAAACAAGCCCGCTGGTCCCAGCATTTTCACCAGTTCCAATTTAAGCTCAAACATTTACCAGGGAGAAAGAACTTCCTGGCAGATGCATTATCTTGCATGCCCCAATATAACAGCGCACGAACCACAGACTCTAAACCAATGATGGCAGAGTCACAACTGGCAGCACCAGTAACCACAAGAACCCAAGCTAAATTAAAACCACAACTGGACAGCCAAACTGGAATTGAATTCAGAAAAAGTTTGGAAACAGACGAATGGTTCCAGAAAAACAAAAATGTGTGCACAATGAGAGACGGGTTGCCTTGGGTAGGGGAAAAGTTATATATACCAACAACCCAAAGAGTCACTTTCATGCAGCTTTGCCATGACACAAAATCAGCAGGGCATTTTGGATTTGTAAAATCTTTACACTTAATTAAATGGCAATTTTGGTGGCCATCAATAAAAAAGGACATGGAAAGTTATGTTGCCAGCTGCCCAACCTGTGCATCTGCAAAGAGGTTGCAAGGGAAATCGCCAGGATTATTACAACCAGTGGCAAATCCCTCAGCCCCCTGGAGGGAAATAGCCATGGATTTTATAGTGGAATTGCCAGAAAGCAATGGGAATACTGTTATCTGGACAGTCACGGACTTGTTTTCCAAACAGGTGCACTTTATCCCTTGCCAAAAGATTCCCACTGCAAAGGCCTTAGCAAAACTTTTCATCCAGCACATTTACAGATTGCACGGGGCACCCCAACGCATCATCTCTGATAGGGGAGTGCAATTTACGTCTGCATTTTGGAAGGAATTTTTATCCCTCTTAGGGACCACTCAGGGACTGACATCTAGCCATCACCCTCAGTCAGATGGACAAACGGAATGTTGTCATTCAGTACTTGAGCAATATTTGAGATGTTTTTTAAATTTCCAACAAAGTGATTGGATGGACTTACTCCCTTTTGCAGAAATTGCCTACAATAATGCAGTCCACTCCAGCACAGGCTACACTCCTTTTCAAATAGCCAACGGTCAAAGTTTCAGCCCCATGCCAGAATTAACCCCAAACGAACCAACGATCCCTTCACTGAAAGAATGGATGGAAAAACTACAAAACACCTGGCCAATAGTTAGAAAAGCACTAGATGAAGCTAGGCAGGCATACAAAGCATAAGCCGATAAAAAAAGCGTTGAGCCTACACCATTCATTATAGGTGAAATGGTGTACCTATCTACAAAATACCTAAAGTCCCTACAACCCTGTAAAAAACTTGGACCAAAATATATAGGGCCTTTTCCAATTAAAAGAATCATAAACCCAGTAACAGTAGAATTAGAATTACCAAAAAATCTCAGGCAAATACACCCAATTTTTCATTGCAGCTTGCTGAAACGAGAGCATCAGTCAGCTTTACGGCCAAAAATCCCCCCACCACCACCTCCAATCATGATAGAGGGCGAACAACACTTTGAAATAAAGGAAATCCTAGACTCTAGGAGATATCATGGAGCAACTCAGTACCTAGTTGCCTGGAAACACCTCCCTGCCTCACAAAACGAGTGGGTCCATAAACGTCATGTCAGAGCCCCGAAGCTATTAAAGAAGTTTCACACAGAGTATCCTAACAAGCCTGACTAACTTTTATACCTGCTTTGTTTTCTTTCAGGTGGATCTCTCTTATTTTTGAGGGGGCCGGATGTCAGAATCCAATTATATTTCATCTCTAGTTATCACTTATAGAAAAAACCCATTTCTGCCTTCTTGGATTCTGTCATACAAGGAGGAGAATGGGGTGAACAAAGGGGCTTTATGGCCTTCACTTCCTTCGGTACAACTTCAAAGGAATTGAATGGGGATAGCACCAAAAGGACTAATCATAACAAAGGAGGCTATTTACCTTTCATGTAGTTTTCTCTGAAGTCTCCATCCAGCCGGCAGTAAGGAAAAGGGATGGGAATGTAATGCCTGAGACTGTTACTGGAAGTAGGGGGGATTGGGTGGGGCTACTGGGAAACCCCTTAAAACCTTGAATGGGAGAGCTTGGACCCCAAGTCCTGTCTAGAACGCCTGCAACCATTTTCTCTTAATAAAGGATTCCTGTTGGAAGAATTATTCCAAGAGTTCTGTCTTCTTAAGATGCAAAGTGGGGTGGGTCCTTACAATATATATTAGTAAGAAGAATGATATGTATTGACTAACTGATACTGTTTATGATTATCATTTACTACATTTACTATAGTTATTTATTACTATATCAACTATTGTTAACTGAACATATGTACCCGGACAATAGTCTGTTTGCTAAAGATTGAAAATGTTATTGGGGGATAACCCCAATATTGACCCCTACCTTGTCCTAATCTCAATCCTGATCCTAACCCCATCCTAAACCTTAATCCCTATCCCGATCCTATTTTATCCCCAACCCTATAAAATCCAATAAAATCTTTTGGAAAAAAAAAAAGAAATGGCGGGTTTAGAGCAGAAGGGAAAGCCTGCATTTCAAACTAATTGGAGAATGTGATTTATGACTGTTAATTAGAGGAGGGAATTGTGTTTTGATACTATGTGCTACGGGGAGGGGAATCCAGATTTTGGCTTCGCTTATGTATGTGCCTATGCTATGCTGCTCGAATAAAGATTCTTTAAGGTAAACAATGCCTCAAAGTTCTTTGAAGAGTTTCATCTGTCAGAACCATGACCTTATTTTCCCAATAGGTCTCTGTTATTTGAAACTCTCGCCCAGGCCAGCTTTGACAAGAAAGGCGGGGGGTACAGTGCAATAGAGTCACAAAATGAAGATAACATAATAATGAGGAAAAAGTATGACTACTCTGCTTCAGTTCCTTTCATGAAAGCTTCAAAGGAATGCTGCTTGTGGGGCTTGCAATCATATTTCTGACCTGAATGAAATGAGAACTATCAAAACTTTTAAGCATGGTGCAAATCCAGTGTAATACTATTTTAATATTAATCTTCTTCCTCCTCTTTCCTCATAGTATGAAATTCCTCCACAGTTGGACTGCTATAACACAAATAGTTATACTACATTCCATATCAATTTTTATTCATTTACATACCTATTGCAGCACCCTGTGAGTAACCAACATAGTACAATTGTTGTTGGCCAGTTTTCCGTAGAATGAAATTGACGACAGCTGGAAGATCATACTTTGCCATTTCATCAAAGCTAGGAAAAGATATGACAAAAAAATTAAATGCAGGAATGAATTTAACACTCTGATTGGGATTCTAAAGGAAACCAAAATAATATAGGAATGGTATGTACAATAGTTATCCTATAGATGGCGTATCAAAAATGCCTATTCCATATTAGCTTCATATGGAAATATATTCCATAATTTTGAAGAAACAGTTTGCAGACATGTACAAACATTAGAATATTGAATATACAAAATGGATTAGAAAAGATGCCTTCATCCCTAGAACCAAATACCAGAACTCAGTGAATTATTTTGGACCTTAAATGTTTATGGCATGATATAGACATTATTTTCTCTTTTCATTTCACTTAAGATTCCATTTCCCTGTTGCAATAATTAAACATACCTGAAAGCCCAAAATTCATCTTCACTCACAGACAGATTTTGGTGACTTCTGGACCAAGTATTTCCTCTGCTGTTTCCAATCCAAACATCATATCCAGCATCTGCGAGGATGAAACCCAAACTGTTGTGGGCCAAGTTGGTAACCCAGTTGCTTCCATCTCCTAGCAAACCATGCTGGAGAAATACTACAGGTTTCATAGCTGGAGAAAGAATATAATATTTTCCTTAGATATTAAAATTAATTTGTTTTACTAGGAATAAAGGTGTCAAAAGGATGGAATGTGGGAAAAATTGTGATTTCTCTATGTAGGATATATTAGGTTGGACTAGGATTCAATTTATCTGGAGAATTTTCATCCATTCACTCATAAAGATAGTCCTAGATATATGCTTCATATTTTCCTTATATGTTTCTACTTTATCCCTTATCAATTTATCTCACCAAAATCCATTTGATAGTTTCTGCCAGACGGAATTCTATTCAAGCTAAGAATATAGCCATCTGTTGTCATCACTTTATATTCCTCGCTCAGATAGCCTTTATGGATGATAAGTTCATTCTGCAACAGAGTAAAAACAAACCAACAAATCAACAGATATTTTAAGAATTTGTGGTACAGTCTAATCTCATCTTCTGGAATTATGTTTGATGTATCTGCAGCTGAGCACTGAATTATTATAAGAGAAATATAGTTTTAGGAAACTGACAGCAAGTTGCAAGGATAAATTCTTTTTGTCACACAGTTTTATCTCTCTCTCTCTCTCTCTCTCTCTCTCTCTCTCTCTCTCTCTCTCTCTCTCTCTCTCTCTCTCTCTCTCTCTCTCTCTCTCTCTCTCTCTTGCTGTTATAATAGCATCTTTTACTTCGCCCCTAACCAGAAAGATGTGAGGGAATGTGATGGATCATCAATTGATGGGGACATATTATTTTGTCCCACATCATAAACCCTTCTTGAATTTGGAGTAAATGGGCTTAAGTGAAAATCAAAATAAACATGAGAATGACTTGAATTTCTATCATCCATAGAAGATCATTTGAATAAAGAGAAAAATATAGTATGATCTTTTGCATCTTATGTTTGTAAAAATTTGATGTAATTTATTCACTTTCATCAGGTCTATGCAAAATGCTCAGTAGGCTTTTGATTAGTTTAGTGTGAAGTTGCCTTGATTTATATTCATAAAGTGGGAGGAAAAAGCATAAGAATCTTGAAGATATGTGCATTTGATATACTTCCAAGACTTTTAAATACGATTTCAATAGAAGATAGAAATGAGTACCACATCTCTTTTACCTTATCTTTGAATAACTAAATGGAACAACTCAGCTAGCTTTCCTTAAACCATTGGCTGTTTTGATGTATGAAGTGTAGACTGAATGAACCAATCAGAATAGAGCATACTTTGGTATATTGCAACATATATTAAATACATCCTTTAAAAAATAGGTGAAGAAAATCAATCATGTAAGTTGATAAAATTGATGGTAGATAATTAATTTGGAAATCCCAGGAGATAATGAGTCTAACTTTAAAAATATGAGAAGCACCTTTAAAGTTGGGCATAGTATTCATTTTCCATGAATAGTGAAAGGCAACTTACAATATTCATAAAGGCTTCTGAATTTGCAGCTCTCTTTGTCCTTATTAGTTTTGAGTAGGCAAATCCGTGAATCAGGCATATCATAACAATGATTGCCTGCATCCTGTGCCTGTTTAACAAAAGATGTAGATTTCTTAATGACTGTGGCACATATAACATAATGAAACCATTTTTCTTGTTAAAAGGCTGTATGACCAAAATCATTCTAATGGCTCTATGACCAAAATCATTCTAATGGCTACAGTTCAATGTATAAATAAAAGTCCTTTGCTAAAATGATTGTTTGGTATACTCCAAAAAACTTGCTTCCTTATTTTTCAAAGAAACTACAGAATGTATTCAAAAGTAAATATTAAAAAAATCATCCTAAAGTTCATTTATAATATATACAAGTCTGTGCCTAGATATCTATACAAGACAACACAACTTTTGATTTAGTTTAGTTTTATAAGAAGAAAAACAATACATAGAACAAAAAAATATTTAGGCTACCCAAAGGAAAAACGGAGCAATAAAATCTCTCTGAACCCCCTCTCCCCACTTCTGTTTGAAAATACTTCTTCTCTTTTCTAGAAACAACTAAAAATTAGAATCTAAATGCATTCAGTTCATTCATATGAATGAACCTATAAAATAAACTTCTAATTAAAGAAGAATAGAAGAAGAAGAATCAGAAGAAGAATCAGAAGAAGAAGAACTGAAGCACGTCTTGCAGATCAATACACACACTGAAATGTCAGAACAATTTCATACATATTGAACAGTCATATTGCTCTAATAATAATAATAATTTATTAAACTTGTATGCTCAATTTATTCTGAATAACTCTGGAAAAAATTTAAAGGATCTATCTATGTGTTCTGCTAATTAAAGCACCTTCTCCTTTTTCTTTTCTCTCACTATCAGAAGAATAATTTAAAAACATGAGATAAACCATGTAATTCCTTTTATAGCTGGTGGTAGCCCTTTCATCTTTAAAATTCTAACAAAGACACAGATAACTTCATGGGGGGGGGGAGAAATAAATTAGTAAGCACATGCTTCTCTATCAACATTCCTTTTCCCATAGTACAAGAGATTATTGTTACTTACTGGTTTTAATATTCACTTGTTCCTCCAAAAGTTTCAGATGTTGAGATGGTGACTCTTGACACAATATTTATACCAGAAATGTAAGATAAAGGTGATAGAGAAGTTACAACATTTAACCCTTTCTTTGAAAGCATTTAGTAGTGGCATCTCTTTCCATCTCTTCTTCTTATCCTTTTAGCTGCTATTTCAGTTTAGTAATATTGAAAGGAATTCACTAAAGACCAAATCTTGCTTAGGAACTCCTTACATTTTTGGGACTGTTAGAACTGTTAGGTTAGTGAGATGTTCAAGCGACTTCAGACAGAATTGGAAATTTGAAGGTAAGGGATTTCAAATGCAAATATTTTGTCTCACTCCAGGGACTTTTGTTCTTATAGTTTTCCAAGACATATCTTCTGGGAGCACTGCAAAAAATATATTATCCATAAAACATCCATGATTCATTATGCTTCCCTCCCCACTTTGCTTCCCTGCCCTAGCCAAGCATTCTCCCACAAACACAGGGTCTACTTTTTATTTCGGATCAACCAAGTGTTGATCCATTGGTTGCAACAGGAATGGACTGATCAGCTTGTTGCCCCAGCTTGACATCAGGTACTGAGAGAGACAGTAACTGACCCAAAGTCACCGAGCTGGCTTTCATGCCTAAGGTAGGACTAGAACTCACAATCTCCTGATTTCTAGCCTGGAACCTTAATCACTAAATCAAACTGGCTCTCTTAATGATTCACTTTGCTGTTGCTTGATATCCTGATATCTAGGCTCACAGACCTAATGTGTTCTGTCACTGGCAGGTTTGGAAAACACATTATCCTCTGTTTCTGAAATCAAACATAATTTCAACATTTGTATTCTATCCTATGATTTAACAAGTCAGTCTCTCAAGTGCAGACCCAAAACAGTTCAGTTTAAAAATGTGTTCACGCATGCTATAAAAACCTGCTTTTCATGAGTAAACACTCTTATCACTTAGTATTTTCAGGAGCATAATTGCATGGGTCGTCCCAAGGAAAAATACTTCTTCCCTTTGAAATGCTTTGTACCACTGAGCATTAAGACTTACAGAGGTCATGACCTCCATTTAGATTTGTTATCTATCCAGGGCTGATATATGCCATTGCCATTAAATGAATGTTATGTAGAGTCTGAGAGCCAGACTTTTAGGGCCAGACAAATCAGAAGGATACTTACATCCAGTGCTTTTTTGTAAAAAAAAAAAAAAAAAAAAAGGTGCCCAAACTCACACACATTATACAACCCGCCTTGCCTACCCTACAAGGTTCCATCCAAAAAAGGTGTCAGAACTCTGTTCTGGGCGCTCTATGAGAAAAAAAGTCCTGCTTACACCACTAAACTGTTTCCAAAGACCAAATAGAGATGTTTAGAAATAAACCAGGCAAATAAAGATTTTGTAGTTTCAGAAAAGCTCCATGCTGTATTTTATTATTATATACCCTCAATGAATTTTCCATTGGATTTTTTCCCCCTTCACTTTTACATTTACATACACTTCATAAATTACACATAAGAAAGAATGATACTGTTTTATAGCTTACATGACAGGCATGATAGGAGCAGAAAGGAGTATTTTATAATAACTTGAGTTATTATAAAAATAATGAAGGTGGGATATAAATAAATAAATATTCTTTTGAGCAATGTGCTCAAACTACTTTGCAATCATTGTGTGCATGGTGAGATTTGACTAATAACAGATTTAAAGCTTTGTGTCTCACTAAATAATTTGTAGACTATGTTCATTCAAACAAATGAAGTAAAGTTTGTCATGATTCACAATATAGGATATTCAATTTTTTGTATTTTCTCTGATACTTCAGAACATTTTTAAATAAAGAAGACTGCATGGTATTTGAGACGTTGATTTTTAAACCAATTTACATCTGCCCCCCAGCTTTATAGGTTATATTTTTCTCCCTAGCAGAATGTACTAAAATCAGCATTATTCTGTCAGTGTTTCAAAATTTTGCTGGATTTTTGCTTTGGCCTGGACAAATGCTGCGCCCTCTGCTGGGGAACAGCTCTGTGAAATCCCTGGAATTAGATATTTTCTTCTTTTTTTCTACACGGAAACCCAAACAAGTTTTAGATCTCCCACCTTGAATACATTTTCTGGAAGAAAATGTGATTTTATTTGCCCCTTCTCATGGCCACTATTCAGATATATCCTTCCAGGTTATCCAGTTCTGCATTTCTCTATGTTCTATTTGCTTTCCCTTGTATTTAGAAAATCGATCTATCTAATACATATCACTATTTTTCTTGTTCTATTTTTCTCTGATTGGTGACCTTATGGCCCTAATAAAATTTGTTTTGGAATACTTCCAATCAAATTAATATATTGTAATCATATGTTGTGAAAATCTGGTTGCTTCAGATTTTATTTTTTGCCAGATAAAGTATGCAGTATATCACTTCTGTATGTGCTATCTGCTTTCCTTCAAGTCTGAAAAATCTATTATCACTCTGTTCTGTTTCATTATGTGCCTTCACATCATTTTTAGTCCTAGCGATCACATAGAAAGATTTCTCAATTGTGATCTTTCTCAAACCTTGTTCTTTCAAATCTCCCAATGGTGTGCTCATTGCCACTTTACTGCTGGTTGTCCTCTTCTTTTCCTTTTCACCTTTCATTACAGCCTTTCCCAGAGAGCTGGGTCTTTGCATAATGTATCCCAAATAGGATAATTTGAGCTTGGATATTTGTGCTTTGAGTGAGAATTGTGGTTTGATTTAATTGAGGATCCATTTGTATGTTTTCTTGGCCATCCACAGAATTCTCAGGAGTGTTCTCCAACACCAAAGCTCAAAGCATCAAAAGTCTTCCTATCCTGATGTGATTCAATTCAATTCTGTTCATTCGTCTGAACAGCATTTTTACCTGAGTGCTAGCCATATGGCCATAATAAATAGTTTATTTGATATGGAGTAATTTTTAATTAAATGAATATATGATATTGATGTATGGTTATTGTTAAAATGGTGTTAGCCCTTCAAGTTAGACTCAATCAGAAAGCCAAAGTCATGAATGCTAATACTATTTATATTATAAGGTTACAGTAACAATCTTGCAACTTTGCTTTCACCTTCCTCCCTTTATCTTCAGGACAACTACAACCAGTTTGGCCTAGTTGGCTAAGGCACCAAACTAGAAAGTGGGAGATGGTGGGTTCTAGTGCCAGCTTAGCTATGAGAGACAGCTGGGTGACCTTGGGCCAGTCACTCTCTTTTATCCCAACTCACCTCATAGGGTTGCTGTTGTGGGGAAAATAGGAGGATGAAGGTGTATTAGATATGTTTGATGCTTTATGTTATTCATAAAAATAATAAAAGGCAGGATACAAATAAATAAAATACAAAAAATAATTTATCTGGGACACTTTTTCAAATTACAATTCTGACACAGACTCTGATTTCTTTTATCTGACTGTTATCTTGGTTGCAGCACTACCTCCTGTTCTTCTTGGTTATTCTTTTTTTCCATTACAATTAGTCGGCTGTTCTTCATTTTACTTTTCCAAAACATAGTATATATTCTTTAAAAAATGAAGACGATGGAAAGCTTTCCAGCTTAAAAGATGAAGACGATGGAAAGCTTTCAAGAGAGAGAGAAAGTCAGTAATGTTGCCAGTGCTGCTCCAATGACCTTTGGTTGCATAGGTTCATACTTACCACAGTTGAAGGAAGAAAGAAGGAAGAAGAAGCATTGTTGCCTCCCCCATCTTGACTCATTTAGGTCAAGTGAGAAATAAACTATATTTGACTCTCAATTCAAGAAGAGAAAGTCATGATTCAGTTCATAGTGTGACTCATCCAGTCAGGCCAACTGTGGGAAGAAAAAGGGAAGGACATTCCTATGAATCTTCTACAATTTGTGTGGGATAAACTGAGAAGCTGAACACAGAGTGATTCGATTCCCTCCAGATCTTACTGGACTACAGTTAGACTTTCTGGACTACAGTAGATTAGACTAGATCTCCAGATTTCACACATGTCTGTTAGGGCAGTGCAACTCCATCCACTAGCAAGGATGGCATGGTCAAAGAATTGGTAGCCCAAAACCCAAAGCCAGGCAATCATGCCAGCATTTAGCTGAAGCCTGTTGTTTCCCATTTTTATTATTCATTCATTTATTTATCCAATTTGTATAGCTTCCCATCTCACCAAAAGTGACTCTGGACAGTGCACAACAATTGAATAAAACACACAAATATAAAAACAACAGATATTAAAAATATAGAAATCTACATTGAGAAATAAATAGTATAAAAACAAATATATTGTATAAATCCTAGGTGATGACAGGATAAGAATGGCCACCTCAACAATGCAATCATCTAAGCAAACCTTGTGAATTCTCAAGCCTCCTCTATATTCAAGATGGACAGTATTTAATATTTATTTGTTATGTAAATGTAGGGGTGTGGGTCTATACATATGTTGTATATAGTATGTTTTAGGTGTGTGTCATGTATGTGTTTCACTTTGAGAGTGGGCAACTAAATTTCATTTTTGATGTGTGCCATTGTGCCCACAATAAAAAAATGGCAATAAAGATTATCATCTTATATCTTCTTATCTTATCTTATCTTATCTTATCTTATCTTATCTTATCTTATCTTATCTTATCTTATCTTATCTTATCTTATCTTATCTTATTTTAATCTCCGGTTCCCTGGGAACCCCAGGCTTGATAGCATAACCAGGTCTTTAATACTCTCATAGTCTCCAGACATCAGAAGCATTGTTTAATTCACCAGGGGCAGAGATGTATAATTGTCCCTCTTTCAGGGAGATGGCTGGTTGAGAAATGTGAAAAATAAATAAATAAAAAATAAAAATTGGAAATGATATCTCATTCCATGGTGGCAGATGAGTTCACCCAGTGGCTTCATGCAGATGTTGAGTAAGATGGTGCACTGATCCCTATTGCACCCCACACATGATCTGACCATGAAGAGGGAGCTCCCCTAATTTCATATCACATATTGCCACAGGTCTGACAGGAAAACAGATCAGTTTGTGACCACAGATATGTGACTCCTGCCCTGGAGGCTCAGCCCTTTCAGTAGTCTTTATAGTTCTCTGACTGCATTTATAATTTTATATGTTGTATGAGTT